TTCTTTGAAAAAATTTTATGGTCGGATGAGACCACATTTAAGAAAGATGGGTACATGAACCTGCGTAACTTACACGAGTGGCACGCAGCAGACCCACATTTGATGACAGAAGATAAATCTCAATATCGCTTCAAGATAAACCATTGGACAGGAATTTTAAATGGTAAAATAATCGGTCCGTTTGAGTTCCCAGAGACTTTGACTGCTGAAGTTTATTTGGATTTTTTGAAAAATCGTGTACAAAATTTATTGGTGGACGTGCCACTAAGTATTTACAGGGACATGTGGTTTCAGCATGATGGCTGCCCAGCGCACTATGCACTCTCAGTGAGAGAGTATCTCGATCAAAACTTTCCAGGCAGATGGATAAGGCGGTCTGGTACAATACCGTGGCCAGCCCGATCACCTGATTTGAATCCTTTAGATTTTTTTACTGGGGAACTGTAAAAGAAAAAGTGTATTTCAAGCCGATTCAAAATGTAGCTGAGCTAGGGCAAAGACTGTTGGAAGCAGCTGAGTTTGTTAATAACCCGATCTTTTTTAAGATGACGAGCGTGTATTGCGGCTGAAGGAAAACAGTTTGAGCATTTGCTGTAAAGGTAAATCATCAACAGCAGCATTTTGACGCCCACTGTTGTGCAAACAGTTATCCTTAAGGGTCCTTGTGCGTTTTCATAATTGCTGTTTAATTAGGAAATTTTGAAAAATTTTCATCAGTTTTTTTGTCAAATAAAAATTGTGCATAAGTTAACTAGTAATCTTCTAAGTGTTATGCCATTTCGTTATTAAATGCGCCAACTTTTAAGGTTACTTACCAAACTCTCGTAGTACATTTTTTTCCAGTACAGCCAGTTAAAGTTGAGCAAAGTTTTACTTTGGAATACTTGGTTGGGAAATAAGTGGCAATTTTTCCTGAACGAGAAAAGTTGACAGTAAGGTTGAGACACCAGTTTGAAGATGCATTATTCATCATTACATTGTAAAAATAAAATCCAAAAAAAGTTAATATTTGTAGTAACAGGAGTTGACAGACTGCCGTAGGGTGTAAAATTTCTATATCTTTTTCAAAGACCTATAATTTTCAAAACACATACATACATTTTTTTTAAATATTTTTCTGATAGCTGTTATGACTTTGCCTATCACCCGGTTTCGGCTTGACGTCGACTTCTTGGACACCCGGTATACGATGAGGGCGCTAAATCATATCGGAGTGTAATTTAGTGAGGTTACTTGATTTCGTGAGGTAATATTATACATAATAGTATAGTTTAGAAGTACGTGTCAAGAGCTATTATAATCAGCTATCAAACAATGATGGCAAACAGCTTTACATCAAAGAAATGAGGCTAAAGGGTCGATCTACTTGACGCCATGTTTTTCCAAATAAACTGCTTTTACCTACCGCGCCCACTGGCGGGCAAGTATTGTAATCGCGAACATTTCCGAAATTGTAAGTTGTTTGATTTCATTATTTTATATTTTACCAAACAAAAAAGATCCTCAGTAACTAAGGTGGATGGACCATGGAAGGCCACGCTACCAAATAAACACTAATTGTTCCTAATCAACTGGATAAATGAAACGAATAAATTCTTGAGTAACACTTTGTTCTATTACGTAACTTAACATATGTTTCTTCATTCCATAGCTAATAATTATTTATTTAGTTTAAGTTTTATTAAACTCTTCCGAACGGCCTTTCAAGCGACAAGGCTCCGCACAAGTCGTTTAACTTCAAACTAACAAATTAAGTGCTCATATTATTTAAGCTTCACATACATAGAACTTGTGAGAATTCTAGCATGGACGTTTTCTTGATAATGATACAAAAAATCTAAAACAAAAACTTTATACGAAATGGAAAGCACACTTTTTATAACGTCATAAGAAATGGCGTCAGTAGATTGACGAAATCGAATCGTGATTATGTAGGTTTACTTAGGTACGATGAATCTTCGACCTCTGCATATCAAACCATATAAAGCAAAACTATCATACAGGGTTTGTCCGGAAAGTAATAGGACTCAGGATTCGGTAGAGGGCGTTCCTAGCTAAGGAATGAGCGGCTGGTCAGTTGTCTCCGAGCACTTGGAGAGTCAGGACAGGCATTTTCACGCGACGTGTTTCTGCGAGTGGTGCAAGCCGAAAATGCAGCGTTCATTAGAGCAGAGGTACGCGATTAAATTCTGTGTGAAACTCGGTAAATCTGCGACAGAGACGTTTGATATGATCAAGCAGGCTTACCCGGGTGTAGCTTTAGCAAGAAGTGGTGTGTTTCGGTGGAACCAGGCCTTTTTGGAGGGCCGGGAAAAGGTCGCTGATGAGGACCTTCGACTTCGACAAACACCGATAATGTGACTCGTGTGCGCAAAGTTTTGAACTCAGACCGTCTACTAAGTATTCGTTTAATGTCCCAGATCTTAAATTTATCAACATCTGTGGTTCATGACATTGTGACACAGCATTTGAACATGCGCAAGGTGTGCGCGAAGATGGTCCCAAAAGAGCTCACTGACGACCAGAAATTGCGGCGAGTGGAAGTGTGCCAAGAAAATTTGACTATGTGTGAAAGTGACCCCCAATTGTTGAATAATGTAATCTCAGGTGACGAGTCGTGGATCTTTGAGTATGATCCCGAGACAAAGAGGCAATCTTCCGAGTGGCACATGACGGCGTCTCCTCGCCCAAAAAAGGGAAGAATGATCAAATCCAAAGTGAAAACGATGCTCATTATCTTTTTTGACATCAAAGGCATCGTCCACCATGAATTTGTTCCTCCTGGACAAACCGTCAACGCCAAGTTTTACGTGGAAGTGTTCAGGATACTCAAACGAAGGGTCAGTCGGGTCCGACAAGACATCGCAGCCGACTGGAAGTAGCACCACGACAACGCCCCGGCTCACACCGCCTTTCTTGTGAACCGCTACCTGACCAAGGCCGGCATCCCAACGCTTCCGTAGCCGCTCTACAGCCCAGATGTGACCCCCCCTCCCCCCCCCCGGACTTTTTTTTGTTTCCTCGCCTAAAAAGGCCGATGAATGGCAAGCATTTTGAGACGACAGAGGGGATCCAAGCAGCATGCAGCATGCACCGCCTTCAATGCTTGGAAATCGCGCTGGCAGCCCTGCATCGACGCAGAAGGAGCCTATTTTGAAAGTTTTTAAAGAATTGTAAGGATTGGCTCAATAATTTTTTTAAAATCGACTCAGGACAAACCCTTTATTTCTGTTTCCATTGCAGATGTAGGGAAAATATGTGTGACTTATTATGCCTAACAGGAGTAGCTTCTTATCAATAGAAGGTCTGTCGCTGACACCAAATATGCAACAATTTACAACCATTTACGACAATGTTCACCTCCTCCAATGTTTGAAAATGAGCAGGAATCTCTGAAACATTATGACACTATGTTCCAGCGATTTTGTTTCTGTCGCCTGTGAATCAGTTTCCAAAATCTACGACTACTTAAACGGTGAAAGTATTAAGGAATGCACACACTGGCGCGAATTAATTCGCCGCGATAACGAAGCGAATATTTCGCGACATCGGCGATAACAAAAATCGTCTCTAATATCACATTTACGCGAATATTTCGCAACGAAGGCAGTCAGAATTCATGTCTCCTTTTAGGATTTGCGCGAAAATTTCATAAGATATTTTTTCTTTTGATATGTGAAAAGATGGATTCTTCAAGAAGAATCAATACTATTATCGGCTGACTTAGAAGATGAGGAAATTGAAAGGTAAGGCAAAATTGATAACCTACCTTTAATAAATATATCTCTTGGCAGTTTCATCGCATATTCTTATATTTTTGTAATTTCCATGGCTTCAATCGTATAAATTCGGATATGTCTTCACAAACTCTATTAACCTTTCAGTTAAAGCCCTGTTTGATTCGCAACGAAGACGCGGCTGGTCGCGAAAGAAATAAAATCGTTTTTAGTTTCGTTGTCGCCGAGCGAAATTTTCTCGCCGGTATGTTCCTCTCATTAGGGTACGAACATAGTGGAGCGACGAGGTTTCAGATTCAGATAGAGGCTAACCGCGCGGTTTGCCGCTATGTGAGTCAAAAACACAGGTTGAAACCTGTCGGGCCATAGTAGCGCGATAAGGCATGCGTCGAGTCTCTAGGAGGTTTCGAGCGACGAGTTTTAAATAGTTGCATTCAATTTTTGTCACGCGTTTTCAAGCGATTTAATAATGGATGTTGTGCAATTAATAAATAGTGTATATCACAGAAGGGCTATATGGGATCAGAGTCATCCAGATCATCGCAACCGATACGTGCTAGATAAGTTATGGGAGGAGGTAGCCAATGAATGCAATAATCAGTCGGGTAAGTAAATAATTGTATTTTATACACATTTCAACAGCTAGAACTTACATCTTGCGGTAAAATTTTAAGCTGTCTCGTAACTGATTGGAAAGAAATTAACATAGTTACAGAAAATGTCGCGAACTCTTTGACCTTCACCCAGTTGCCTTCCTCTAGGTAATTCAAACATCTGATCTCTAGGAACTGCATCAGTTACTAATGTTAAATGTCGTTGAAATCCCTCTCGGTCCAGTATTGTATTATGCAAAATGCATATCGCCTTAATGATATCATCCGCAGTCTTTTCAGTAGTCTCTATAGCTTTGGACAGAAGACGCCACTTCGCGTACATAATTCCAAAGGTGCACTCGATAGTTTTGCGTGCTCTGGACAATCTTTGGTTAAAATTTATATGTTCCAAAGAGCGGTTCCTTCGATTGTATGGTTTTAGCAAATTGGGCATTAGTGGATACGCTTCATCTGCAATAAATACGTAGGGAGCGCGGACATTTGTTCCTGGTAAACTATCTGGATTTGGCACATTTAGTTTGTTTTGGTGTATCCGTTTGTACAAATTGGAACTCTGAAACGTTCCCCCATCGCTCTGTTTGCCGTAACCTCCGACATCTATCACAAGCAATTTGTAATTTGCGTCGCAAACTCCTTGTAGGACGATAGAAAAATAATGCTTATAATTGAAGTACATGGATCCGGAATGTTGTGGTGCTATAACTTTGACGTGTTTGCCGTCAACAGCTCCGATGCAATTGGGGAAGTTCCATACTTTCATGAAGTCTGCACTTACATTTAAAAATGTTGCCGTAGTAGGTTCTGGCATGTGAAGTGGTTGCAGCATGTTCCATAATATTTTAATCATATGTTTTATAATGCTCGCAACAGTACTCCTGCCCATTCGAAAGGAAAATGCCAAGTGTCTAAAGGACGCTCCTGTTGCAAGATATCTGAAAATTTTTGTTTGTTGCAGTTAAGAAAGTTTCTGAGAAGTGGAAAAATCTACGTGATTATTTCAGAAAAGAACTGAAGAAAATACCTCTGCCCCGGTCTGGTGATCCAGGCGAAGAGGCTCTTAAAAAGAGCTCCTGGCCTCATTTCAAAAGTTTATTGTTTCTGAGAGACCAGTTTCTGCCGAGATCCAGTCATAGCAACCTGTTGGATCCCGACAATGACACACAAGTTTCGACACCCTCTACGCAGATGGATGAAAATGATGGTGACTATGACGAAGACGAAATGGACGAAACGCAGGGTGTAGAAACGCAGGAAACAGAACCCGACCACACAGAATCAGTCACTCCAATTCAAAGCACACCAAAAGAACCACGAACTATTCTAAAGAATAGGGCCCGAAAACGGTCAAATCAACTTGACGCTTTTCTTGAGATAGAGAAGAAAAAACTACAATATTTAGATGAGAAACGTGTCGCTGCAGACCGTGGCAGAGCCCTACCAGTCACAGATGACGATAAACTGTTTTTTGATAGCCTTTTGCCCCACGTGGTGAAAATTAGGCCTCATCGAAAACTTCAGTTCCGCAATGAAATTCAAAATTTGGTTCAGAAGTATGCCTATGAAGAGTACTCGAACAATCAGTCCACCATCAATGTCAGTCATTCTGTTAATCATAGCCCGACATATACATCTCAACCACAAACATCGTTTGCACATTCATCCCATTTGTTGCAGGGGTTTAATTACGCAGATCAGTAAACATTATAAGTTATTATAAGTTATCGTTCGTTGTGTTCAGAAGACAGAATATTATTTTGCGTTACCGTTTGTTTGTTTATGAATAATAAAAGTATTATCCTTAATACATAATATTCTCTTACCGAATTGTTACCACCAACATTTCTTCGGTTCCTATAGGCGCTTGATTAAAATTTGTCCATTTCTTGTTGATGCAGGGTGTAACTTGTTCTAATATATACTGAAAGGTGGCAAGTTCCATTCGAATGTAGTCAAATAGCCTGTCGGGATAATTTTTCAGTTCTAGAAATAAATGATGGAATTCCCCTAGGCGTTTCCGACTTTTATTTACGTCGTGCACACTACACTGCCGCACTCCAGTCATTAAAAGCACTTGCAGGTAAGTATTATTGAGAAGAATGTCATCGTCACTGTCGGAATACATATTTTTACGTCTATCTTCGACAAAACGCGACGCTCTACTATAACCATAGGTGCCTCTTGCCTCTACGCTCTAGACGCTACCAGATATCTGAATCTGAAACCTCGTCGCTCCACTATGTTCGTACCGTTATACATACGTCGAAGACCTCGAGTCGACGAATATTTCGCGAAACGAAAATTTCGCCATCGCACCGAATTATCGCGTCAATGTGCGAATTCCTTAAAACTCGCGATAATATTCTGCCGGTATCTGCGTCACAAGTCCGTGTTTCTCATTTATATCGGTTTATCACTCCATGTCTGTTGTAAGTACAGGCGTCCCTCGTTTTACGCGGGCGACTGGGTGACCAGGGGCAATAATCTATGAGTAATAACACCTTAAATTCAAGATTTTTTGAAGTTTAACCTCTGGTATAAAACAGTTCTCAAACCAGTCTAAGAAAATGTCTCATGTTACCCATATATACTAAGTGACATATAAACCCGAACACCCAGTTTAAATGGTTTTATTTTAATAAAAGTTGGTGAATGTATTTATCTTACTGTCAATAACAAGTGAAACCATTTTCAGCCTTATCAGTTGGACATTCCGGTTTTTATACTGCTTTTTTTTAATTCACTAACGCTCTAAAAATGAATATTTCAGCCGCAGTAAAGAATCAACGTTGGCGGATTTTGGTTCTTGACATCCTTTACGATCGGTTTCGATGCCTAGAGTACGGAGACCTGTACGATTTCGTCAACTTAGTGAGTTTGATAGGGGCCGTATAGTGGGACTTCGGGAAGCTGGACTTTGTTTTCGGGCAATTGCAGTTAGAGTGCAAAGAAGTGTAGACACTGTGGTTAGGTGTTGTCAGGCATGGCTTCGAGAAGGCCGTACGCAAAGAGCAAGGGGCACTGGACGCCGTCGTAGAACAACAGACCGTGAAGATCGCCGCCTAAGCTTATTGGCCTTAAGGGACCGTTTCTCCACTACCAGGTCCATTGCAAATGAATCATACCATTCATTTGCAATGGCATGCGAAGTGTTTACCGACGAATGAGAAGTTTTGGCTTGTTTTCATACCGGTCACACTGGGTCCTCCCTTTAACTCGAGAACACCGACGTAATCGCCTTGAGTGGTGCAGACAACGGTCACTCTGGGATCAGGAATGGAACAGTATTGTCTTTAGTGACGTGTCTCGATTTTGTTTAGGCATGCACGATGGTCGTGCCAGGGTTAGAAGGCGACGTGGTGAAAGGAGGAATCCACAGTTTTTTGTTGAAAGACATGTTCATCACACTGTTGGAGTTATGGTTTCGGGTGCTATAGCTTATGGTTCCAGGTCACCTTTAATCTTCATCAGAGGTAACATGAACGCGCAGCGTTATATCCACGAAGTTCTAGAACCCCATCTTTTACCCTATCTTGACACCCTGGCAGATCCAACTTTCCAACAAGATAATGCCCGACCACATGTTGCAAAAGTCACAATAGACTTCTTTCAACATAATGATGTCACATTGTTACCATGGCCACCAAGATCTCCCGACTTATCCCCAATTGAGCACGTGTGGGATATGATGGGTAGGAGATTGCTCAATTTGCAACGTCCTCCTCAGACTCTAGAAGCACTTCGAGAGGAGTTGGTGGTTGCCTGGAATGCGATACCACAGGAGGACATTGACCACCTGATCAGAAGCATGCCTAGGCGCGTTGGAGAATGCGTAGCACATCAGGGTGCATCCACACATTATTAAAGGTCAACGGGCTTTAAAGCAGTGCAATCATTTTGAAATTTTTATCATTTACTTATTATGCTTCATTAAGTACTTATACAAAATTTTATTAAAATAAAACCATTTAAACTGGGTGTTCGGATTTATATGTCACTTAGTATATGACCATTGGCACGCCAATACACAGGCAATTTATTTTTATCTTTGTTTTTTAAAGCACGGGGATTCAATGACTTCTACACTAATAAAGGCTTAATCATACAATCTCCAGAAGCATTTGAACAAAGCAGAAGTGTGAGACGATCCTTTGCTACTTTAAAGCCCTGTGCGGTCTCCTCCTCTTTTGATAAAAATGTACGGTTTGGCATCTTTTTCCAAAACAAGCCAGTTTCGTCCGCGTTAAAAACCTGCTCAGGTTTAAAACCTTCTTCTTCAATGATTTAAGTTGCCCAGGATATTCCCTACTAATCAGGTCATGCCCGATTGCACGTTGAAACCACGCGGTGACGCGATGCAACCGCGTATAAGTGAACCGCGTAAAATAAATCACTGGTGTCAAAAGCGGAAACGCGTATAAGCGAAACCGCGTATAAATATACCGCGTAAAACGAGGGACGCCTGTATATCAATGCGTAATAAGTACTGAGTCGCTCTGCTATACAAATTAAAGGGTAAATGGATACATCATAAAATTCCATCAAAATCCGAGCGGTACTTCAAGTTGTATTCGGTTATAAAATTAGCGGACACACCGACAGAGTCCGACGGATATCAGTAACATGGCTTTGTTGTTCATCTCATATAACATCCAAAAAACGACCTTAATTTTCGCGATTACAATACTTCCTCGCCAGTTTTGATAGGAAGTAATAATTTCGATTTGGATTTCCTTAGGAAGTATGGTATGTTGCCTAAACGCGGATAATGATGTATTATGAATGATTAGAGATTCGTTTAGCCTCGTGGCTCATGCGATGATCTAATCACTAGCGGATCTGCCGCTGACAGTAACGCTAATTCAAGGATATAATATTTGGTCAGATTTTTATATACACTGAGCGTCAGCTAATAATCCAAAAGCAATTCGTCACCTTAGTGCAGAACTATTCCATGCGACAAATTACCAAATTTTGCTTTTATATTCTACATGGCGCATTGAAGGTCGTCTGTCTACGCTGACAGAAAATATAAAAAATGGCCGATTAAAAATTTAGCCTGTGTCCTAAGCTTCTATCCATGTTGCGCAGAGCTGTTTTGTCTGCGGAAGCGTGCAATTGCTGTTTTTTTACATGGTATGGCTCTAATGGGATGAATGATTGCGCATGAATTTTACAAAATTTGGTGTTTGCTGAACTGAATCAGACAGAAATCAGAATTTGACTTTGAAATATGTGGTGAAACGGGTTCTAGTATAAAATAAAACTGAACTTCAGACATTTGTAACAAATTTTTTAAAATCCGCAGGGTGCTCATTACTTAGATCAGCGTTTGTCAGTGTTTCCCCAAAATAATTCATGCAAATATACACTTCTGACTGAACAACGAGGAAGAATTGTAATCGCGAAAAATGTCTAAATTGAGATAGATTTTTTGGATGTTATATGACAAGTACATCACGAAAAACTTGATAAATACCGCTTGGATTTTGATGAAGTTTTCACACACTGCAATGCCAACGATGAAAATCTTTGTAGTTTTTGAAAATCGGTCTAGTGGCGGCGGAGCTATGAGCAAAAAACAAAAAAAAATAAAAATCGCTCAGACTTCGTTTCAGAGGTTCCTGATCATTTGCGGCAAATTTTTTGTTGCTGTTGAAACCCGGGTGTGTAATAGGGGTTGTAAATGTAACACCTTTAGTCAATGCCATAATCGTTATTAAGCTTCTGATTTCGGTATCAAAACTAAAATTAAATGGTAAAAGATCATATAATGTGCTCATGTGGCGTTGCGTGCACGACGCGATGCTGCATCGTGATGGAAGCCACTGCCAACTGTGCAATCGGTAACAAACTCTTGCGGTGGTGTCGTCACTGATACACCGGTACAGGAGAAACATTTATATATTCTAACGATATTCTGATCTTAGGGGTA